ACTTCGCGCTTGCCAGGCAGGCGCTGTGCCGCTGAGCTAAATCCCCAGCCCCTATCTTGTCTTTATATCCTTCATCTGTAAGTTTTCTCCCCTAAAATATTTCTCAATACTTCTTCAAGTCCTTGTTAAAAGTGAAGACATAAACACACAGGAGTCTGCGGCCACACACGACGAGGGTCATCAGTGTCACTGTCTGCCACTGCCACATCTCTTCCCATCAGAAGGCCCTCAAGGGCAGTGACTGCAAGGGGCCCTCGTCTCCTGCAAGGACAAGGCCTCTTCTGGGATTCCACCTGAAGGGCCTGCCTGAGGTTGTTTTACAGGCAATTAAAAAAAAATATGTCGAGGGAGTAAACTCCAATAATAAGCAGTATACTATAGTAGACACTTCAGCCAGTAAGACAGTTGCTGATTATACTGTATATGCTGTGCTTTTCTACTCCACACAGAGCAGATCTGTTTACACCTGCACTGCCCAAAATGAAAGTGATGCGCTGCACTGCGATGCTAGCACGGCTATGACCTCAGCAGGCAGCAGAGACTTCCAAGCTGCATTATACTCTCTGGGAGCACTGGCACATCCGCTGTCACTGGTAACCGAAATGTTGTTACACAGCAGCAAGTTAGAACTTTTACGGAACCCAGGAGTATCACTGTGGACCTATGGTCTGCACAGAAGTCTTTTTTGTTCTAGTGTATTATGTAACGGGGTATACAAATAATCCATTTGAAATCTTACTTGAATAGTGCAAAATAGACTCAGAATTTAAAAAATAACAACTTGGTCTCATGAGTTCAGAAAGTCACAGAAATTTAGGACTGGAAAGAAACTTGTAACTCCCTCTAAAATCTCTTTGGCGGTTAAATGACTTTAAATCATTTGAAGAGCAATAAAGCCCAGTTTCCCAAATCCCCAATTCAGAGCTCATTCTGTCAGGCCCCAGTGCTTTCTGGTGAGCACACGTTATCTTAGTATATTTAATAATCACAAATACATATTTAAACCTGTGGGCTTTGAATTTGACTACAAACCACAGTGAAACCTACACTTCAAGTTATAGCCCTGTACCCATTCATAAGAAACAAAAAAGGTTTTACGCAACAAAACTTGTCCTTATTACGCACTATAGCATGCTTCCACGAAACTGACTTGACGACCCAGTCGTGGGTGCTGGTTCAAAGTCTGAAAATCAGAACGGGTCCAGGCTGCTGTGTCCCTTTCCTGTTGATTGTACTTTCTCGCGTATCATTTGGGTCAGCACTGTCTCCCTTCTCTCCAGACAAGGCTGTAAAGTCAGTAGCATGTCTTATAGCAGATTCTTCGAAAAGACTTGTTGAAAGTATTTTTATGCATCCTTGCCTTATACTGTTAAAATATCACTGATTTCTGCTCACGGGTTGCAGTGGCAAAAAGAAATGACGAGGAAAAAGGAAGCAAACCTTGACAAAATTCCCATTCACTAACTGTCCTTGCCCAAAGCGCTTCTGCTTGCTGTGCAGAAGACGCAGTCTTGGGGGTGGGCGGCCATGGGACGAGCACTCGAATCAGAATGGAACCACGTGTGGTTTCTGCTTTCCCACATCAGGGATTTAAGATCTAAGGGAGAGAATATCACGTCCCTAGCTATGACAAAAAAGGGTTTTTGAGAAGCAACCTACGATGAGTATCACTCAGGAATTTCTTTTTTTTTTTTTAGTTTTTGGTTTTTTTCCCGGTACCAGGAATCGAACTCATGACCTTGCGCTTGCCAGGCAGGCGCTGTGCCGCTGAGCTAAATCCCCGGCCCCCTCACTCAGGAAATTCTGAAGATGCCTCATGGGATCACTGTGGCCACAGAAGAAACGAACCCTCCTCCCATCGGTTTCTTTTGACAGCTGTGCATGGCTGACCCGGATACTCTGCCATCTCGTCCAGCCTGGGGAGATCTGTCACATCAGCTAGCATCACTTATTTTGTTGTTCAATTATGGCAATATTGGTAAGTAGTGATGTACTTCTCATTTATGTTAAATGTTAAGGATTTATAGCTGGGATATTTGCTGTTTCCATCTAATAGCTGAAGAGAATACTTTTTTTTCAGTTGTAAGTATTATTAACACAGGTCTGAGGCTCTGTATACCGCTCAGTGGTAGAGGGAGCATTTGCCTCGCATACGCAGGGCCCGGGGTTCAATCCCCAGCGCATCCCCTCTTCAGCTAAAGCAAATCAAGCAACAACAGCAATAATAATGAGTCCTACAGAAACTGTTATTTGGCCACGCTCACGTATAAGCCAATATAACACAATGCTTTGGGAAGAATATTTAATAAGTATTTATTTATTTTTTAAAATCTGCATATTCTTTTTCCTTTTTTCACAGGATGATTTTTCTTTATGCTCTCTTTGACGATTTCAATAAGACAGTGAAAAGGAAAACGAAGTGAAACTCACCCCTGTGAATTCTATTACTTGCTAAAATTATTCTGTCTATGTATAAAGCAGATGCTTTAGGCCTCGAGTGACTCAGTGGTAGGGGGCATGCCAGCTCCGTCTGCCTTTATGAAGCGCTACAACCTAGACTGCAATGTATAAGAGGTATGTCTTTATACCTCTATTTTTTTTTCATATTTATTCACTCTTTTCTTACCATTCCTTATACTGAATTGGCAGACATATGAAAATGAAGGCTTCTTCTTACCAAGAAGGGTGTTGATAGAATTCAGAGTAGGGAATGTCAGCACAATTCATTGCCACCTGAGCAAATCCTTTGAAATGGAAAGGGTTGTGCGGGGACTCACACACCTTGAAGTACACAGTTCCCTTCTCTTTGACAATGGCAGCCTGCTCCAGTTTTTCTTTGGTGTCCATCTCCCAGGATTCTTTGGCCTGTGTGTAAATTTGTGGCAATGGTTAGATGAGCACATGAGGAAAATCACTGGTTGATGCCCTGAAGAACCAACCCCAATCTCAGAACACACTGACTGTTACAATCGTGTGCCACTGCCAGCCACTGCCAGGCCAGCGCTCTTTCTGCTGCTTCCAGAGTTCACTTTTCCTGCTGGCCACACTGCGGCGTGACCCACGCTGCCTAGCGGGTGGGGCAGGCAAAGCACAGCAAGGCACGTAACGGCTGAGCACTGCGAAGAGTCGCTTTCAGCACAAGGCTAGCCCAGCCAGCGGAGGCGAGACTCTTCAGTTCCCTCCTGCACCTCTGGCCACAGAGCTGCTCTTCTGAGCGGAGCAAGCTGTTTCTGTCAAGCCTCAGTTTTTCAGCTCTAAAATGGGAACACTACAGTAGTCAAGTCATAGTTGTACATTCTTAATTCTCATAGAATTTTTCAAAATTCCAGGGCAGGCACCCGTCACTCTAAAAACCAAGATACACTAATGCCTCTGAATGGCATCCCTGTGCAGGTACACAGATGGGGAATTTCACATGAACGGAGAGCACAAAGCCCACGTGGAAACGTCACATCAGGGCCATAAATAAGTAAGTTCGTGGTTATCTGCTAGTTTGTATTACGGATATCTTTACTCTCTGCCCCCAGAGATATAATCCAAACGTAACTGCATTTTCCACACGAACAGCAAGATTCAGGATCAAAAAGTCAATGGAACAACTTTTTTTTTTTCTGGGAAACTGGTAATAGGTGTGGTGAGTGTTATGTAGTATCTATGCGTTATGAAGTGTAAGTGGGTAACTACAAAATTTTCTCCACTCAAAAGGTAATTAGTAAGGGCTTAGGGTGCAGCCCAGCGGTTAAGCACTTGCCGAGCAAGCAGGAGGCTCCAGGTTCCACTTCCAGCAGGGGGTACACGTGGGGGTGGACAATTAGTGTCTGCTCCTGGTGCCACAGCCAGGGATGAGGGGGATACTGATGTGCTGGCAGCCCATGCTGCCTCCTAACAGCTCAGCCCGATGACTGAAAAGCCTGCTTAACAAGGACCCTGTGCATTTTTCATATTGGTTTCAGTCTTTATGGACCATAAATACAGCCTTAATACTACCAGGCAGAACTAAACCACTCTGCTCCTACAGCTTCACAAGCCTTCTTGCGTGTGAAGATACCCAGCCGTGCTGCGCGAACGCACTCACGGGGTGACGGCCAACACAGGACTGCTCTGGCACGCCGCAGTGAGAAAGCTCCTAAACAAGCAGAGGCGAGGGGAGGGGAGGGGCTCCTCTGTAACAGGGGAAACGGGAAAGCCATGTGCTGAAGATTGTTTTCTTCCTCCTTAATAAAACCACGAGGTGCTGTGAAGACAGCATGGAGGGTCAGCGAGGACTTAGCGGGCCTTCAAGACAGGTTGCCCAGCAACAAGTGATCCTGGGCGAAGAGCGTGTGTCTGCGGGAGGGGTCTGATTAGGAGGATCCCAGCCGGGGGAGAAGTCCTCCCCACTGGGTCTCAGCCCAAAGCTTCCGGCCCACAGGACAACAGTTCCCTTCTGGAGTCTAATAAAATATAAACGGTTACATTCCTAGTCTAAAGCTTAATGTACAGAACACGGAGGGGGCAGCACTGTGTGGAGATAAAACAGGAACACAAAAGGCAGTTTCTGAGGAGCTCCAGGAAACGGGCGTTGGCCGCACGGGGCCTGTAGCTGGCTGACAGAAGCCGCGGCTCAGGCGTGTGCTGTGTGTGCGTCTCTCCAGGGCAGCACGGGTGGGAGCCTCCGGAGGTGAGCCCGGCTGGAAGAACGCCCACTGAGGCAGACTGCTTCTGGAGCGCAAGGCAAACGACAAATCCTCTCCTTCTCCACTTGGACAGGTATGGAAAATTTTAGAAAGGCCCAGGGTGCGCAGACCGTCTTTCCCGGGACCCGGAGCAGGGGCTCCCAGGCCTAGCCGTTGGGATAATAACCCGGAGCCACAGGGCAGGCCTCCTCGTGACTCCTGAGAAGGGTACAGGCTGTCCAGCACTCGAAAGCTGCGCCCCACTCCCCCAAGGAGCTGCTTGGCAGTACGTGATCCTTTCTGTCCTCAACCCAGGAAAAAAAGTACAAAAAGAACAAGCCTAGGAACAAATAAGGGAACAAGTCTTGGATTCTACCCAAAAAAGTTAAAAAAAAAAAAAAAGCCTGACACGTAGGAACAAAATAAGAACACTGAGCTCTTTGGTTGTATATCAGCTGTGCTGTGTCAGTTGTCCCATGCTCTAGGAGCAGTGTGGGACACAAGAGACAAACCTGGTAATGACAAGCACGACCCAGCAATAAACACCGACTGTCTACACCGCCCACAACAGAGTTAATAGGAAGTAGGTGGAGAGGCGCTCTACCGCGATTTTAGAGAAGTTGGTATTCTCACCTTTTCGAAGCTCTTAAGTGTTACTTCATATATAAGCTCAGCATTAGGTTCAATGCCAAATTTAGGCTTCCCTGCCTCTCCAAAACCATATCTGAAATGGAGAGTGAAAAAATAAAACTTTAAAAGAATTGGTGTATTTCCAGGCGCTTCCTCTGGTATTGAGGTATCATACTAGCACAGAACTATCATTTGTAAGCTACACACATCAGAGACTCTGAAGACAAACCAGATGTTGATCAGAAGATGCAGTGCCAAGTATCCCTCCGTGGCTTTTTTAGAATCCTGGCTAGATTTAGTTTTCTTTTCTTTCACATACATATGTAATAGAGCACCTGTACTACTTGAGCTAGCTTGTTCAATGCCTTTTTTCTCTGCTTGATTTTACATTTAGTTATTTTTAGCTATTAGGACTTTCTCTCTAAGCTTTACCAGCAAGGACAGAGGAGACATGGCCACTGTAATTGTTACAGTGATGTTCATTAAAGGTACATTTTAATAAGCTTCTAACTTTTAAGTGCTATCACCTTCCAGTACTACCACTTCCAGTCAGAAAAATGGAAAGACTAACATCTAGAGAAGTATGTTCTCACAGCAGTTAAGATTTAAAAAGGTGCCCTAGCAAACACAAATAATTTTTTAAAAAATACACAATAAAAATAGCAGCCCTGGCACCTCATCAAGAGACATACTCTTGGGCTGGGGATAGAGCTCAGTGGCACAGCGCCTGCCTGGCAAGCACAAGGTCCTGAGTTTGATTCCCGGTACCAAAAAAAAAAAAAGGCATACTCTTAGGCTATACTGTTTTAGCCAAAATACTGAATAAAATAACTGGGGATATGCAAATTTGTTTTTAGGCCATTTAAGATCTCTAACAGAATAAGCATATTCAAGAAGCATGCATCTGCTGGAGGGGAAGCTCCGGGGGAGCCTGTGTGTCTGGTTCTGTGGGCTCCCAGCATTTAGAACAATGCCCAGCACACTGGCACGTGTTCCCTGGAGTATATTCCTTCCCATCCGCTGTAAGCCAAACTGCTCATGAGTACACGACATGGTATTACTGTATAGAAAACCTTGTAAGCCCAAACTTTTAGGTTACAGACTGAAAGATGTCAAAACTGGGTCCATGCCAATACCGCTGGCTTTCTCTGGGGCAACAGAACTGAACTGGGGACACGCACATTTTGTTGCTTCTACTACTTTCTGCCCGCCTTGCCTGATTTCCAGGAAAACAGCTTACTCATTCACCTCCATGTTACACAAGAAAGTGGCAGCTGGAGTAGAGAGCGGCAGAGGCGGACACTGAGAGCTGGTGAGAATGGGTGTGGTGACTTCAACAGCAGGGCAAAGGGGATCTTCAGCAAAGAAATAAAAGATGTAATTACTAGTGCCAATTCTAGGAAGTGGTACCTAGTTTTCTACTTGGAGCTCTTAGATCTATCTCCTGTTTTGTTCTGCCATGTGGTAAATAAACATTCCTTACCTGTCTGAAACAAGGGAAGCCCCTGTTTACTGGGAGTGTGTTATGACTTGGAGTCCTACCTTAGACAGGGAGAAAGGCAACACAGGATTCGGCTTTTTCTCTAGACTGGGGGCTCTTAGCTGGGATAATGTTAACCGCTCCTCTCCAGGGGACATCTGGCAGTGTCTAGAGAGGTGAAACTGGCCTGGGGTGGGGCGGACAGAACACTGCTGAACATCCTGCTACGCACAGGTCAGCTCCTGTCCCCAAGAATTACCCAGCCCCAACATCCACGGTGCTGGGGATGAGAAACCTGCCCACGGGAGCTCACTCACAGGGCACCTATGACTGGGGTGGGGAGTGTGAAGAACGGGTCAGAGGAGCCACCACAGCAGCCTGGCTGCCATCAATGGGACCGAAGAAGACTAAAGGAGGTTATTACTGCGTTAAAAGGCAGTGATTCTGTCAAGATGTGGGTGGGGCGCAGCACCTGTGAAGGCATAAGCTCACGCTTAACTGTTCTGGGGACACTGTTTTTGACTTCTGGATCCCACAGAAAGTTGTCTGACATACTAGCTCAGCCTGAGCAAAGAAGGACTCAGGGCACATAATTCATCTGACTGAAAGATAAAATACTACCGCTGGAATTACAGGACTTCACCGAAACAACTGGACTGTGTAACGGAAGAAATTTGGTATTAACGTCCTTGAATTAAAAGTTGCCTCCAGAGCAGAGATACAAATAAAGGACCTCGGTGACCAGTAGGCCTTTCTGTGCTTACAATAAGCGCTTGCATCACCAGTTCTTACCAACCGCACCCTTTTTACAGGTAAAGAAACTGAGGCTCAAAGAGAAGTGCTTCCTAAGAAGTCACACGAAGAGGCAGCGGCAGAGCCAGGATTTAAATTCAGAACCTATGCGGTCTGAGGAAATTGTTTAGTTTTCTGACCCACACTGCCTCAGAATGAGACTACGACTCGTGGTAACCTGTGTTTTGTTTGAGGCTGGTGCAGGACAGAAGAATACGTAAAGGGGGGAAAGAGAAAAGTTAAAACTAAAACGCTTCATTTAAAATGTGAAAGGTTAATGAGTCACGGCATTCAAAACAACAACATAAAGGGAAGGTGGTATCCCAGTGAGGGAGAGAAAAATGAGTTCTTTGGAAGTGTTGTACGCATTTCTTGGTATGAAAAAATCCTGCCAAGGAATCAAAGTCAAAGAGAAAGTATGCCCTGGAAGTTTTATGGAGAATGAAATACACAAGACAATAAGGGCACAAACTTGCTGCAGCCGTATTTACAGCAACACTCCAGCGTGATGGTAGGTGGGAATCTGCACAAGACAGGTAAATTCACTGCATGCTCACAAAACATGCCTGGTGCACAGGGCTTTTCTGCATACATGTTCAGTACTACACAGCGTGTGTGCAGACGTTTTGCAGAGAATGTACTTTGTACAATGTCTCAACATACCAACACCTTGAGCAGAAAATAACATGTACCTAGCTATGCTAAATCACATTCATAAAACATGAAAATCTTTCATGCCTAGAAACCTGTGAAAACTTGTTGAGTACTTTTATGCTTGGAAAGATCTGAAAAACCTACCCTATGTTAAAACAGGATTTCCTTTTGCTGTCGGTCCAACGGTAAGATGGAAGAGAAACACAGCCATCCCGAAAGAAGTGAAACCCGATTACACGGCAGCCAGTTTGCTAAGCACTTCACCTGTATTACCTCATTTAGTCCTCCACACTTTTATTAGGAAGCTGCTGTCACCCCAATCAAACCAAGGGAAAACGAAGAACCGGGGGTTAAGTGACCTGTCAACTGCAGCAGAGCAGGCTTTACCCACTGGTGATACAACAAACAGTTTACACCTGCAAGGAACTACTTGCATTAATAAACATAAAGTCAATTTCTGTTTCCCTTTGCCACTGAATTTGAGACATCTGCACCCAGATGATAAGACATCTGCCTCATCAGCTAGGTTAAAATGTAAAGCTGATTCATATTATATGCTTACAATATGTACAGAACTTATATTCAAGGGGCTTAAATTTGAAAACACACATGAGACAAAAATCCCCCCTCTATGAATTTAGAACTACTATAATTTTGAATGCTAAACTTAAAGTAATTACAGACTATTTGGCTATGGAGGAGAGAGCCTTCTCTATGCTCTAGTTCATTAAAAAAGGTTCCTGTTAGGAACAGGAATAGCTTCACCTTAGAGAGAATTACAATATAGAGTAAATAAACAAAACACATTGAAGTAGGAATATAGTAGGAAAAAAATACGGTATGGAAAAAGAAATTACACAAAAGGTGCTTCAACGAAGGCTTGAAAGACTTTAAAGTACAGCATTTTGGAAAGGTTTTGAGCACATAGTGGCATGGCCTAAACATCACCTGAGAAATATTATGATCAAGAACTTGGGCAAAGGTAAACATGCCACTGGATTACTACAGAGCATACACAAAGGCAACAGACAGTATGAAAGGCACAGGAGTTTTACTGGCAAGGGCAGGTCACTGAGGGGGTCAAAGTCCTGCCGTAAGAAACTCACGGAACCCCCAAAGGAGGACACACCAGATAAGCAGACTGTACTCTCATGGGAACAAATCAAAACACCCTGGGGTCTCTCAGGGTCTACTGCTCAAGACAGAAGGGCTAGATTCATGGTATAATTTTAGACCTAAAAATAGTATCAAACACGTTTCCACCTTAAAAAAATAAAAAAAACATGTTTTCACAATACAGACTGTCAGATCTGATAGTTCTAAGCTTGGAAGTGCTAATGGATATCCTTATGATGGGAAGAATTTAGGCAAAAATGAGTCATCTCCGCTGCCTTTAGATCCAGGAAGAATACACTTTTTTTTCAAAGATTCTGTATAAGAACATGTGTCATAAATTCAAGTGGTAGTAAATCATCCAAATGGTTCTTCAACTCCCAAGGCCCACATGTTTTACTGCCTCCTGCCCAATTTAGAGAAAAGAGAAGAGGGCTTAGGAGAACAGCACGCGAGCAGGGCAATAGCTGCCTGACTCTGGGAAAAGCAATCCAAAGGCAAAACGTGCCCGTCTGCCCTGTCCTTAACCCACATCAACCAAGTAAACATGCTCACAGCCCCGTGTGATATGGGAAGGCCCACTAATATACTTGATGACTAATTGTAACCTGACTAAGGAACTGTTTCCCTGTTGCATTAACTTCACTGAAGATACCAAGATACTGAATGAAAAAGCATGCATACTCCTGCTGTTTACACAGCTTCACAGTGCTGGAACTGGTAGGCTGCTTACCGTGGTCCAAGATATAAAATGCACTGCTCTTCCCGCTGCATCTTCTCCAGGGCTTTGTCAATTCCAATGGGAATGTCGTGGTCTTCTCCTTCACCAACAATGAATATCACATCTCTGCAATCAAACGTCCTTCCACCATAGCGGCCTTCCAGGTGGACTGAAGGTGAGGGAAGAGGTCAGTCAACAGAGCTGCTCCTTACTACTTTAGTGAAGGTGCAGATGAGTGGCTAGCAATGTCACAAATACATTTCTCTTTTCTTATTTCATCGAGACACATGTGGTATCCCACTCAGTCCAAAAGTTTAAGGGTAACTGTATTTCCGTTTTAAGTTAAATATATAATTGCTGATAACTGAGTCAGTAAGACAGCTTAGTGGGTGATACACTAGAAACAAATTTATCTAAGCCTTACATGTCAACTTTCTCACCTGTAACACAGGGTCAAGAAATACTGTATTGCCAGGCGTGGTGGCGCATGCCTGTAATCCTAGCACTGGGGAGGCTGAGGTTGGAGGATCACTGTGAGTTTGAGGCCAGCCTGGTCTACATAGAGAGTTCAAGGCCAGCCTGTACTATTAGCAAGACTCTGTCCCTCTCTCCCCGCAACAAGAAATACTGTGTTGGATTATTTAAACAGATAGTTATAAAAATGCCACAAATTTAATATCACATATATAATGGCTTAGCCATCTATAACTGCATCTTGACTGCTGATGCCTGGGCAAAAACAAAAACCAAAACAAACCCCTCAACTGAGTGGCTATTTCCTCAATGACAAACAGAGATTAATTGAAGCATTTTCTTTAAGACTCCTTAATTACATTCACAAGTGTATTTAAACAAAAATGGAACATCCAAAGGCAAAAATATTAGTAACCAACTTAGCTGTCTTCCTTAGTGGAGGTAATAAATATAAAATATGAGAGAAATGATATTCTCTATCACTTCTGAAGTCTCATAATTTAATAACTTCCCTTGAACTGTTCAGTGAAAAAGTCAATTTCTAGCTGGGCAAAGTGGAGCACACTTGTAATCCCAGCGCTCTGGGAGGCTGAGGCAGAGGAAGTTTGAGCCCAGCCTGAAAAACTTAGCAAGACTTTCTTTCAAAATTTAAAAAATAAAAATAAAATAGGGCTGGGGATGTAGCTCACTGCAAAAGCCCTGGTTTCAATTTCTAGTACTCAGAAAAAAAAGTCAATTTTGTGGGGCCTAAATCCCCACATCACCCACATTCACTCAGCTTGTTCCTAGAATTATTTCACATAAGAGGCTTCCATCTTGTTTTAAGACAAAACAAGAAAAATACATACATATATATATTCTTCTAGGAAAAACAATTCTCTGAAACCTTTAAATTATTTCTCACATTTAGGATACTTATGCTTTCCATTTAGACTTTTGTTTCAATAAAAAAACACATGCACAAAAAAAGACAAACTGCCATTGCTAACGGGGTTGAGAGTTCTTAGAAGTTTGTATATCTAAAAAGCTCAATAAAATAATCAGCCTGCAGGGTGGCTTATATAATAATAAATCTACCAATTTCCTAAAACACTTCTTTTCTTTTGAGACAGGCTCTCAGTATGTAGTTTACACTGGCCTTGAACTCCTGGAGATCCTTCTGCCTCAGCTTCATGAGTGCTGGGACTGCAGGTGTGCATTCTCATGCCCAGCCCCTAAAACACTTCTTTGCTAAGACTGATGGATCATCTTTAGATCAACAACTTGTTTTAGAGAGACTAAAAATCACTCATTCTTTCATACTTGTCCCATGTCCAATAAGACAACTAATTTTTCCAAATACAAATTCTATTCCAATTTACTCTACTTTTGAACTCCTGATCCCTTGAAGCTCTAGAATTTTATGATTCTATGACCCAGTAATCTAACTCCATACAAGCCTGAAACCAGCCTCACAACTAATTCCCATAGTTAATCATTTGATCAGAGTACCTTTAGCCTAGACCTGAAAAACGGGAGAAATTCACAAGAGCAAACAACAGTAGTGGGGACAGGAGGGGCCCAAATGTCCCAGGACATTTATGCCTTAAAGCTCTCCACCTTTTCTAACTCAGTGGGATCGGTAGCATCTTGATCTCCTCTCACTGCAGCCAAACTAGAGGGGGCATGTGGCCTTTTGTTTTATATCCCACACTCACAAATGCAGGTGATTCTATGTTAGATTCACTTTTAGAATAAAAGCTCAATAAAATAATCAGCCTGCAGCCAATTTAAAGTTCTTCTGAACTGGAAAATATTTTAAAAGTAAATTCAACTTTATTTTTTATTTTTTTGTCTTTTTGAGACAGGGCCTTGCTATGCAGTTCAGGCTGGTCTTGACCTCACTTTGTAGCCCAGGCTAGCCTCAAACTCGAAATGATCCTCCTGCCTCAGCCTCCCAAGTGCTGGATTACAGGCGTGTGCCACCATGCCCGGCTCAACTTTATTTTTAAGTATATGCATATTAGAGAGACTCTGCAGTTAAGTGTAGGGTTTTCAGATATTTTTATTAGGGTAAAAGCTGATGTTTTACCATACGCAGCGGTGCACACCCATCATTCCAGCTACTTGGGAGAGTGAGAGGCAAGAGGATCACAAGTTTGAGGGCAGCCTGGGCAACTCAGTGAGACCTAGCTTCTAATAAAAAAATGAAAAAGGGCTGGCTAGCTCAGCTGTACAGCACTTACTAGCATGCACAGGCCTTCGATTAAATGTTTAGTGGCACTAAAAAAACCCACATGCACAAAAAAAGACAAACTGCCATTGCTAAAGGGGTTGAGAGTTCTTAGAAGTTTGTATATCTAAATATTTTTAAGTCTGCCCAAGAAATTTAGACTAATGGATGACACTTTTCATAAAAACGATTTGCTGAGCAAAGTGAATTTCAGCCCATGTATTACATAATGTCTCAAGTATTGAGCTCTACTGTCCTAGTAGTTCACAGATTAGTCAACAGATTTTTTTCTTTTTTTTGCTTGAGGCTTATTGTTAGAAACCTCGTCTTCTTCCCTAAAGGAGAGTACATTTAGCAGGGGAGGAAATTTTCAGTACATTTGTTGTGGCTTTTGGTTGATCAAGTTTGAATGTGTTTTCAAAACAGGAAATCCAGAGACTGCAAAAGATTCCTGCCTATGTGTCAGTTTCCTAGACTGGTTTTCAGCTTGAACGTATGTGCTTAAAATTATATAAATAATTTTAGAAGCTGTCTTCACATATGATAGTCCATCATTAGGGGGAAAAAAGACTGGCTACTTATAAACATGTTGGAAAAGGTAAGTGAAGCAAGAAAAGAAAAAAGTCAAACTATAACAAAGGCATAACTAAGAAAGGAAAACATTCATCATAGCTAGTCTCTCTGGGAGAGACAATAAATCAGAGAACCAGTGTCTTTGACCATTTGCAATTAGCTCTTAATACCTTATATATGGACCTTTATTCCCCTGATAAATTTAACTCTTCAAAACTGGACCTAAGTAAGCACTACCCATATATCCTGTTTATGTGTGTATCTAAAACCATCACCTTATAATACTGAGATTATCTGGAATGTCAGAGCAAGAGGCAGTACCACAGCCTTAGTGGATACAAACCACTGATTCTTTACCTCTACAAGCAGCAAAGTCTTGCTAGGTTAGTAGCTTCTAAACTTGGAACGCTGGTGTGACAAGTTCTACGAGACTGCTGGCAAGAGCTCCTCCACCACTAGGAGCTGCAGGAAGACTGCCCACCGTCACAGTGACTCGGGTAATAGGTGCCCAGCTCCTACAGATCCACTTTCTCTCTTTTATACTGTCTTAATTGCCACCAACAAAAACTGTGTGGTTGCTTTTAACCTCATATCTTTTAGTGCAAATACTCACTTAATAAATATTTAATAATAACCATCATGACTCACTTGGGAGATCAGCCTTTAGGGCTCAGGAGGTCTGTTGCTAATCTCAACCAGCATGATTTGCGGGAAGTAAATGATCTATGACGTGCCTAAAGAGAATGAAAGTGCACACAGGATGCTTCTACTTAGGGCTCTTTTTTTGGTACAGAAAGAAATAAACAAGTTTAAAAGAGACAACGTTTTCTCTTGACTTACAGTCTATGTAACTTAAAGGGGGTGGAGGTCCTCCAAACCCCCAGAAGTCAAACCAAACCAAATTACCCAAGCTTAGCTGCGCAATCCGAGCGTAACCACATCAAGTGAGCCCGATCTGCTGCACAACATCATTTAAACTGGAGCTCTGACTTATTGTTCTCTTACTAGAGCAATTTTGTTTTGAAGAGCACAGAACACCCTGTTCCGAATGTGGCTGGCACATGAACTCGATGTGCTGACAGCAATTTGTACTCCGATTAAAATAGGGGGGAAAAAAGGAAAGAGAGTGCACAGCAGTAACAAAAACTGGAACGCGAGAACCCCAAAACTGTACAGTTTGTATTTTAGGAAGGAAAACTAAGAAAGAGGGTTCAAAACCTAAAAAAAAGTGCTGTAAATGCTCCAGCCTAAAGAAGTTAGCTCTGGTAAGTGTCTGTTTTCCCCTTTTCTAATTATAGCAGCTGGTGTCTGATAGCTTTGCACTCATTCCCCAAACAATTACTGGGTCATGGGGATTTGAAGGGGAATGTTGTAACGGCATTACTACTAGACAACACTGGTCACTGGGCCAGAGAAAACCAGGTTGTGACAGGTTGCTTCCTCGCGGCCGGCGTTGTCCCTGGTGCCTACACCTCATGGCAAAGCAGTCTCTCTGTCTGTCTAACAGAGCCAGGCGTCGAGAGAGAGGGATCTTGCTGATCCCCTGAAAAGGACAGTAGAGATGGACATCTAAAAGCAGGACAGGCATATCAGTCACTGACTACAAGGCAGCCGTTTTTATCAGGCATGATGGTCATGTTTCCCCCAAACTGCCTCTACCCTGCTTGTGCTATTTGAGGTGAACACACACCACTGAGAGATCACTTATGGCACTGAGGGACAGATGCTGGTGGGGCAGCTGGAACCCGGCTACTAGAATATATCACATTTATTCAAGTGATGTCTTAGTCTAAGCAGGAAAGCATACATCCTGCAATTAACTTTACCACGTACACCACTTCGCCCTTCACATCAGCACAGCACCTGAGCCAGCTCCATTCTGCTACTTAACAATTGTGGCTTGGGAAGTA